ATAACAAACAAAAAATTATAGATATAATCTATTATAAAATTCTATAATAAATTATATAATATAAATTGTAGATTATATAAAATATATATTTTATTAGATATTATAATATAATATAAATATATTTTATTTAATAGAATAACAAAACAACAAAAATTATATAATAAAAATATAATTACAGATAATATAATTATTTATGATATTATTAGGTCGAGTCATAAGTAACTTTCGATGCAACTATGTAGAAACTATTTTTCATATTTACCTACTATAAATCACCAAAACAAACAGATTTTTGATATCACTGTATAGATGAGAATTCAGTTAGTCTTCTGTCAACTTTTTTATGTAGTCAATGATACCATTGTTTAACCATTTTTCTTAACTTCTGAAATGGATAGTAAAAAGTGAATATATTCGACATGTTATGCTTTAAAAATTTAAACAAGGTAATAGCACTAAAGTGGCAGCTGAAAAAATATGCAGCGTATACGGTGCAGAATTGATAACTGATAGGGCAGTCAGAAATTGGTTTGCAAAATTCCATTCTGAAGATACGACCATAAAAGACGAACCGAGTGTAGGACGTTTTTTCAACTTTGACGAACCTTTTAAAGGTAATATTGGAGCAAAATTCAATTGATACACGTCCAACAGATACAAAGAGTACAAAAAAAATACTCCATGAAAAGTGTCCTGCACTTATTAGTGACAAAAACACCATTCTTTGTCTCATAAAATACGAAAGTTATTTATGACTCGATTTAATAATATTACAATAACAAAACAAAAAAATTATAGATACAATTACTATTATAAAATACTCTATAATAAATTATATAATTAATTATAGATCACATATAAAATATATATATATGTATATTTTATTTGATCTAATAATAATAATAATAATAATAATAGAATAACAAAACTTCGTTGAATTGTCATTAAAATCTTTTACTTGAAATCTAATATATTACATTGCAATGATTTATATAAATAATTGAAATAATTTCGACGAAAAATATCGTCGTTTTATTATGATTAAGGAAGAAAATATTTCAAATTCTTGTTTTTTTTTCATCGTAAGATAAATTTATTTTGTATTTTTTTTTCTTTTTTTTTTCTTTTCTTTCCTTTTTTTCTTTCCTTTTCTTTCTTTTTCTTACCAGGAAAAAATTAAGGTAAAATTTATGCGTCAGGTTTTACGTGATGTCTAGTCATGCAGAACGTATAATAGTTCGACAACTATGATGATGACGATGATAATGATGATGATGATGATGATGATGCGAATGAAATTTGCAGAAACTTTTAACGTTCTTGCAATTGCTAATCGCAATTTCTATCGAATCCAAAGCTCATTAGTCGATTGAATCGGAATGATGATATGTTTCATGCGATTACGAGAAACCTTTTATCGTTTCGTCGGATTTGAATTTATTTAATTGATCGTTCTAGTTAATTTTTAATTATCGAACATATACTACGATACCTTTAATCTTTCTTCTACATTTTTTGTTTGGTCTTTTATTTTATTTTTTCCTTTTTTTTTTTCTCTAAAGCGATATCATCGACAAGTAGAATACAGTATGATGTTTGAACGATGACCGTGTTTTTATTTTGTGCTTAGGAATCATTCGAAGTGCAGTTAAGCACTTTTCTAAGTGACGTATATTCTTCGTCTGGAAGGAAATAACAAGTTGAATATGTTGATTAGATTTGAAAATAAAATTCTTTACATCATAATGTGCGCATCGGACGCGTTCGATTAATGTTAATTTTTTGGTTTGAAGATATTCTAAGAAAAAAAAAAAAAGAAATGAAAAAAAAAGATACGAATGGAATAAATTATTTATCAATGTTGAGGATAAAAGAATAACTGTGTATTATTTATTTAATTAATTTATAGAGGTAAAAACTATATATATATATATATATATAATCTTTTTGCAACGTGGTAAGAAAATTGCAGTATTATATTATAGGAATTATTATATTAGGAATTATTAATTATTATTATAGGAATTATTAATTATTATATTAAATGAATTATATATTATACTATATTATATATATATATATTCCTCTATAAATTAATTAAATAAATAATATACAGTTATTATATGTATTATTTTAATATAATAACTGTATATATATATATATATATATTATTATTATTAATAATATTATATACTATATTATATATATTATAATATATTTATTTATATATATTTAAATTAAATATTATTTTATGTTATTATATATTTTATTTAAATTATGTATAGATAAATAATATATATATATATATATATATATATATATATACAATATTATTAATAATCGTGTAGCATTAATAATTTTCATCGAACTATTCTGAAAATAATTAATCGTTTTATGGGATGATTTAAATGACTTATATTTCATTATAAAATTAAATATTTAATTTTATCGAAAAAGAAAATTAAACATACATATATTATATATATATATATATAAAATGAACTGAATAATAATTTATTAATATTATTAGATAAAATAATAACTCGAAATAACTTTCTCATATCTGTATTCTGTTCTTTCATCCGGTAGATCCTAGGAAAACACGAAAAAGAGATTACTATCGTCAATGACGTCAGAGGAAACGTTTAACATTCGTTCTCTCTGTCTAACACGTGGGCAGAAGGGAAGACTCCAGTGAGAGAGAAAGAGAGAGAGAGAGAGAGAGAGAGAGAGAGAGAGAGAAGTTTAATCGTCATCGTCATAGTCTCAACAATGTTGTCACGTTTTCTATCTTTTATATTTTGCACGTGGTTTTTTCTAATGAGAACGAAAAAAAAGGAAAGGAACAAAAAGAATTTAATAAAATTAACCTATTAACCGGGTGGGACGTATTATTACGTCAAACGTATTGCTTTAAAATTAAAGGTACAAACCTTTGTACTTGATATTGGGTTGGCAAGAAAGTAGTTTCGGTAGTTATTATAAAAT